GGATTTACATGTATTCCCCATCCCGGTCCCCCCTCCCACCTCCCTCTCCACCCGGATCCCTCTGGGTCTTCCCAGTGCACCAGGCCCGAGCACTTGCCTCATGTACCCAACCTGGGCTGGTGATCTGTTTCACCCTAGATAATATACATGTTTCAATGCTGTTCTCTTGAAACATCCCACCCTCGCCTTCTCCCAGAGTCCACAAGTCTGTTCTATACATCTGAGTCTCTTTTTCTGTTTTGCATATAGGGTTATCGTTACCATCTTTCTAAAGTCCATATATATGTGTTAGTATTAATTTCATGCTGTATCTGTGTCTGCACTGAGCACACACACTTAACGTTTGGCTTATATTACACACATAAGAGTAAAGAGGTAAAAAGTAGGTCAAGGAGTGGGCTTCAGGTGAAGAGCCCTAATTGGTACATGGATTTGCATCTTGACAGTGAAAACCCTGAAGAGTTCAGGATCTGTGGGTTTGATAATGGGCTTAGAGTGTGGAAACTGCTGAACATATGTGGGAAGGATGGCAGCCAAAATATGAATAGCTGCAGTGAGAATGATGTTTGCTGAGGTCAAAGTGGATGCATTGATTTCTCCTCAGGTTTATATACTTACTTAGGTTAATGGTCCATACTTTTAAAATGAAATGTTTTCAACGTGGCTACCTTTACCAGAGTACATATAATGGCCCATTCTGCAACTTAGGGTCAGCAATAAATTGCCATATCCCTGCCAATGGCGGGTAGTGCTCTTAAACAACAGAACTTCATTGTCAGTAACAACAACAACAACAAAAATACACTTTTCTTTGAACTGTGAGGACCTGATGTGACCAGCGTAATGTTTTTAAACGTGTCATGATCTTGCTGTTACAACTTGTAAATGAAAAGGTTTGACCTAGAAGTCCCTATCAGAGAGCAAATATATAGTTTATTTTCAATCATGAAAAAGCAAAAGGAGCTAGAAGAATGTGTGCTTTTGCATTCTCCTCCTGGATTTGAAGTTTTCCTGATTAATTTATCTCACCTTTTGAGTTTTACCTGTCAATTCAGTTCCAGGCCTGCCCTATCTACAGGACCAAGCAGTTGTCTCCCCACTGTCATTAGATCATCACTGTATTGGAATGATCAGAGCAAACTGATCTGATGATCTGCACAGCAGAAGGCAAGATCTCCAGCTACCCCATGCTCAATGGAATGAAGATAAGTGATGGGCAAGATTGATTTTTTTAACCCCAGGCTCCAATTTTTTTCTCTTGACCTGATTCCACTCCCAAGAGGCATCTTTCTCAACTTTTTAATGAATTGTCTCACTAGTCAGTGTATCTGTGAAACTACTGTGCGGGGAAATATGGGGAAAGCAACAGGGAAGGAAATGGATGATTTCACCAGAGAGCATTTTGTTATCACTTTCCAGATAGAATCACAGCACATGGGACCACAATTGGGATGTCTTGACATGCTTGCTTAATAAGCTGGGACTCCAGAAACTTCCCAGGAGTCTTTAGAAAAATCGTGTCAGCTCTCCCAACTGTGCATTATTTCAGTAAGTGGACTGGGGATGTATAGGGGACGAAGAGAAGGTACAAGGAGAGGAGCAGATAGATCATAGATAATTGAATTCCACATGTAACCCAATTAAATCCTGGACCCATGTCATCCTGGGGAATTATGAAATGCACCTTATCTATAAACGTGATCATCTTTTAAATGGGAAGTGATCCCATTACAGGTGTAACTGACGTGTTCTTAATACAGAGATGTAGCTTGTCAGTCCACTTTCTTTGAAACACGGATTTTCACTGACCACTTCATTGAGAGCAGCCATAGAGAGGATGTTATTTTGTTTTGACAAAAGCCACCTTGCTCTCCCAGAGTCCCACTGGTCTTTGACATATTTCACAGCCTTAGAAGACAAATCATCCCAGATGTCTGTGCCCTTTGTCTTGGGCAAAGACAGACATTCCTCTAGGAAGTAATTTCCTCATGTAAATTTCAGGTGTGATTAGGCAGACCCCACTGAACAGAGATGACATGGTTCCTTTGGTTTGTATCCCCACCCTACCCTGCATTGGCTTACTCATTGGACTAGTAATTACAAATCCTAAATATGCTCCTGTTTACACAGACTTAGGTCTGTACTCCACTTCTTAAACTGGCTCTCACCTCTGTCCAGATTGCATTCCTATTTAGTACAGTCAGGGCCCTACTCTTTGAATAGATAGATTCCAGGATTTTTTATTAGAATCTCTGGAGATTTGGTCTTACCATCAGTATTTCTAAGGCCCAATCAAAATTTGTTTTCCTTGTTTAGTTGCTGAGTCGTGTCTCACTCTTTTGTGACCCCATGAACCCACACAGCTCCTCTGTCCATGGGATTTCCCAGGCAAGAATACTGGCGTGTGTTGCCATTTCCTTCTCCAGAAATCAGACCTGTGTCTCCTGCCTGGCAGGCAAATTCTTTATCTCTGAACCACTTGGGAAGCCCCAAAACTGGTAACCACCAGCTTAAACTGTAAACCGCAGTTTAACACTTGATTCTTTGCTATCTTACTTGCTACTTGTCTCACATGCATTAGCCTCTGATGGTCACTGTCAGTCTATTGAAGGTGTAGTGTTTTCTCCTCCTCTTGTAACTCAGAGCAAATTGCACAATGTTGATGATGCTCAGTAAGCACTCACTATATGTAAATCTTAGCCCTGTCGTTGGCCTGCTGCAGCTCAGCTGAGTTGGTCACCTGGTTTCTTTCTCGACTTCAGTTTCTTCATCAGTAAAATAAGTTAGCAGATTTTTTTCCCCCAGAATTACGGAGCAAAATGGTTTTGCAGATCCTAAGTCATCCATGGAAATGTGAAATCAGAATTACAACTTTGGGGTATTTTGTTGCCTTGAAAGTGAAAGTCCCTCAGTCCTGTCCGACTCTTAGCGACCCCATGGACTGTATAATCCATGGATTTCTTCAGGCCAGAATACTGGAGTGGGTAGCCTTTCCCTTCTCCAGGGGATCTTCCCAGCCCAGGGATTGAACCCATGTCTCCCACATTGCAGGCAGATTCTTTACCAGCTGAGTCACAGTGGAAACCCTTAGTAGGTCGAAATTCATTTAACATTTAGGGCTGGTCAGTGGCAGACTGTGAATTAGAGAAGTTGGCCGTTAGCACGCCTTCACTTGCTCTGTTTTCGGCGGTCACTCCCATGGTGCTGCCCATCTGCTCAGGCGCTCTGAATGACTCACGGTCTCCACTTCCACCTTGAGCAGCAGCACTATATTGTCATATTGTAAGTGCTCCCCCCACCCCCACCAACTCCCCCCGCTGGTCTGATTGATTAAGTCAAACTAAACTGCTAATTAGTGATAATGGCACTTTGCACCACTCCCTTCAGATAACATTTAGCTTTTATTGATGTCCCCAATTCCAGAAACCGATTGGTGAAAATCTTTTGAGGTAGGAAACGATTTTGGCACTAACACTTCTTAGTCAGAAACCAGCCACTCTCCTGTTGAGAGGAAGATATTGCCAAAATCCTGGGAAGTGAGGGGTTGATGTTAACACCTGCCCCGATCATGTGCACTTTTGTGCCTATAGTTTTTCTTTCTTTTTTTTTTTTGAGAAAGATGATGTGATGAGGGTGGAGAAGCATCCTGGCTTCATCTCAGCCTTGGTTTCCTTGGCGTCACCTGCTCCCTGTCCTCTCTCCCTTTCCCTCTGCCCTGAATTCAGCATCAGCCTACATGGACTTGATTGTTGTTCTTGTTGCTAGGAAACTGTTGACCAAGGTCAAGTGTACATGCTAGTTCATTAAGGCTTGTTAGCAACATCTTATCCTGTTGTGGTTGTGTTGTCAAGTGTATGTGAGTGAGTGAAAAGAACTGTTTTTGCTGTTGAAGGATTGTTTTCATGAAGGATTCCTGTAAAAGTATCTTTCTCTGAGAGGTCCTTTTTGCCAGTTCACATCTCAGGGAGCTCTGGCCAGCCACAGATCTTCCAAGATCTGAATAGCAAAGGATGGAGTTGAAATGAGATCTGTAGTCAAGTAGACAGACTTCAGAATGAATTTTGTGTTCTGTTGAGGCCTGATTTCCCTAAGTGGATAAATTCTGAGCTGGAATGTGATGTATTCTTAGCAGGTAGGAGTCAGGAAGGAAAGTTTTCCTAAGAGAGTCAACTCGCTTTTGTGTCATTTTGTGGCTTGAAAAGGACTAGACCCCAAGCATCCTTAACTCAAGAGTATTCTCCTGGCCTGCTGCAGAAGAATATGCATTCCAGTATAGGTTCTAAAACCAACTTCATTCTACTATATGGTTCATACTGCTTAGAAAAGGGGGGATGGCAGACCCTCCAGGTTAACATCCCAGAAGCCTATCCACAAGCACAACTTTAGAACCAAAGGATCTGCTGTCAGGACAGCAAAAATGGGCTGCAGTGTAGTTTGCCAAATAGACCTCAGAAACCAATAAGAAACCTCTTCTTAGGTGAATGATAGCAGAGGAATAAATGTGCTCTCAACCATCTGCCATGCAAACTGCCATGAAGTGGTTAGGTTGAGCTGTTTCTTCCCTTGCTGACACTTTTGGGTTAAATAGAGCACAAGCTACTTATAAGACACTGTGAGTAAGAAATAGAGCCTGGCCACAAAGCCACACTGTTCTTTGCTTTGTCAGTGAACCAGAGAGAGTGGTGACTACGGTATCTCATCAGAAATTGAAAGTCTCTCTCAACTTATCATCTGCACATTTAACAAATATTTTCGAGTTCCTACTATATCTCAGACAGTGTACAAGACACCAGGGATATAGCGGGCACGGAGATGCAGGCGCTGTCTAAAACAGACACAGACCCTGCTGGTGCAGTTTGTGATCTGTTCTAGGCTAGTTCTTTGTTGAGCCCTCAGTCCTACCTCCAGGCCTCCCCTGCTCTTCAGGCTTTCCTCTGAAGCCACCTTTAGTGTCTCAGCTACTTACAGCTGTGTAACAAATTGCCCCAGAACTTAGTGGCATGAACCACGCCATGGTGATTATCTCACAGTTTCTGTGGTCAAGATTCTGGCGTTACTTCGCTGATCCTCTGCTTTGGGGCCTCTCCGAGACTGCAGTCAAGGTGTCCGTGGTCTGTGGCTATCTTAAGGCTCACCTGGGGAAAGCCGTGTTCCCAGTGAGCTTGTTGGCAGGATACAGCTCCTCACGGGCCTTTGGAGTGAGGACCTTGGAGCCTAGCTGACTGTTGCCCACAGGCCTCCTCGTTCTGTGCCACGTGGGCACTCTCCTCCTTGGCTGCTTGTGTTAATAAAGTATGCCAGCCGAGTCTGTTAACAAGCTGGGTTATAACAGACTGTGACTTCTAATTACAGGATGACATCCCGTCACCTTTGCTGTGTTTAGAGTATATCGCTGGCCCACACTCCCTCCCCGGGAAGAGAATCAACAAGGCGCTGTATCCCAAGAGCTGGGGACCACAGGGCCCATTCGAGAAGTCCGTCTACTCCATTGGCTATCTTGTCGTCACCTTGTGTGGCCAAGAGCTGCTGGGCCTGCAGCCTGAGGACTCAGCAGCTGCGGCCTCATCCTCCCCAGCTGACCTCTTCAGCCGTTCCCAGCTCATGGGCTGTATTAATTTTGTCATCTGGCCAGGAATGGGCAGATCCTGCTGGCCAGCAAAGAATGAAGCCGAAGTGGTGCAAAAGAGAATAGGGGTGAGAGGCAGGCGGCTACATCAGAGACAGCTGGGATTCAGAGGAACCTGTGGGAATGGGGAGGAACAGGGATTATCCTGAAGGAAACCGCACAACCACATGCATTCTTAAGTAGAAGCATTTTAACTTTGTTGTCAAGGGACTTCCGGAGCCAAAAGCATTTGCCATAAAGAGTGCTGCTTAAGCTAAGGCAGAGCTTTCAGCCACTGTTCTGCTCATCCCCCTGGACTTTGGGGACAGGGGAGGCCTGGACCACTGGGTATGTTGCCTTCAACTCTGGCAGCATCAACTGGGGCTGCAGACCCTCTCTGGGTGACCCAGAATGCTGCCTGAATGCTATCATCTCTCCACACATCATGACACAGAAAGAGGTGGAGAGGCGCCTAGTATGAGGGGTCTTGCTGGTGCTGAGGGAGCAGCCTTAGAGGCTGGCTGGCATCCTGGTGCCCCGTGTCCTCCCCCAGATGTGCGTGTGGCTCCCGTTCTTTGTGTTCCCATCTCAACCGTCGCCTCGTTGTGGGGGCCGTTTTCCATCGCAGGTGTTATCCATTATGGATGAGGCATGGAGAAGGCCGTGGTGAATAATTCAGCAGGTTTCGGGTGCAGATTGAACATTAAAGGGAAGGGAAGACTGAAAGGAAGAGAGCCGGGGGAAGCATTCTGGATTCTGTTGCAACAAGAGGATGCTATGTGAAGGTGCTTTCTGTAACCTTCCAGAAGATCTGCTTTTCTTTTGTAGTCTCCCTAGTGATTTTTAAGTCTTAGGTGTGATGGTGGTTCTCTGGTTAATGACTGAAAAAATTCCAACCTTTCCACAGTAACAGTGAAGATTCTGATGACTTCAGCGTGTCCTAAGTGGCTCATGAGTTCAAATCAGAGCAGTTTTTAAGAGTGATAATGGCAGATTGGTCCCACCCTTAAGCCGGGGGAGTTCAGTGGTAGGGGTTATTCAATCAGGACACTTGAGAATTAACACCCAAAAGTTTTCTGTCTTTTAAATAATTGATGGAAAGAAGACAGTATCCGGAGAAATGCCCAGTGCTATAAATTCAGAAGAAATACCTCCTGCATTGCTCACCATTTAGAAAAAGCCTCCTTGAACGGGGCTGACAGCTACAAATTTTGCAGCAGACTGACCCAGATTATAGTAGGTACAATCTCACTGTGAGTGGAATGGTCAGAAACACAAGAACAAGCGAGGAGGGGCAGAGAAGTACCGAGGACCTCCCCTCTCTGGCCTGGCCTACAGAGTTGTCCACAGCACAGGACACTGTCACCTAACATGGGTGGATTTTCCAGTTGTGGATCATTCCGGTCCTTTGCTTCTCTCTTTTCTACCTTTTGACTCTTACAGTTCATCAGGTAAACTAGGGAGAGAGACCTGTCATCCTGTCTCATAAAGGGGTTGGTGAGAAAGAAGGCTGAGGCCATCTGTTACAGTGAATGTCTTGAATGTTCTGTACCTTTCATTTTTTGTGCATCCACAACCTCCCCCACTGCCATGGCTAGTTAAGAGGTAGATTGACTCCAGGAGGTCTGTCTTCAACCTTCAGAACCACCCTGCCCAACTTTGTTTCCATTAGTTCCTTCCAGCTCAGTTCCACCTGTATTAATCTTGTCTTTCCCGAGAATAAGTGGACACAGTCCAGCTCTCAAAGCCAGTTTGGGTTTACCTATTGTTGTTCAGTTGCTCAAGAGTGTCTGACTCCTTGTGACCCCGTGGATGGGAGCACTCCAGGCCTCCCCATCCTTCATTATCTCCCAGAGGTTGCTCAAACTCATATCCATTGAGTCGATGATGCCATCCAACCATCTCATCCTCTGTCACCCGCTTCTTCTCCTGCCCTCAGTCTTTCCCAGCATCAGGGTCTTTTCCAGTGAGTCAGCTCTTTGCATCAGGTGGCCAAGGTATTGAAGCTTCAGCATCAGTATCAGTCCTTCCAATGAATATTCAGGGTTGATTTCCTCTAGGATTGACTGTTTGATCTCCTTGCAGTCCAAGGGACTCTCAAGAGTCTGCTCCAGCACCACAGTTCGAAAGTGTCCATTCTTTGGTGCTCAGCCTTCTTAATGGTCCACCTGTCACATTTGTATACAACTACTGGAAAAACCATAGCTTTGACTACCCCGGCCTTTGTTGGCAAAGTCTGCTTTTTAATATGCTGTCTAGGTTGGTCATAACTTTTCTTCCAAGGAGCAACCATCTTTTAATTTCATGGCTGCAGCCATCATCTGCAGTGATTTTGAAGCCCAAGAAGATAAAGTTTGTCACCGTTTTCATTTCTTCCCCATCTATTTGCCATGAAGTGTTGGGACCGGATGCATGATCTTTATTTTTTGAATGTTGGATTTTAAGCCAGTTTTTTCACTCTCCTCTTTCACCTTCATCAAGAGGCTCTTGAGTTCTTCTTCGCTTTCTGCCATTAGGGTGGTGTCATCTGCATATCTGATGTTATTGATATTTCTCTTGGCATTCTTTATTCCAGCTTGTATTTCATCCAGCCCAGCATTTCGCATGATATTCTGCATATGAGTTAAGTATGCAGGGTGACAATATACAACCTTGACATTCTCCTTTCCCAATTTTGAACCAGTCCATTGATCCCTATCTGGTTCTAACTGTTAGTTCTTGACCTGCATACAGGTTTCTCAGGAGACAGGTAAGGTGGTCTGGTACCCCCATCTCTTTAAGAATTTTCCACAGTTTGTTGTGATCCACACAGTCAAAGGCTTTAGTATAGTCAGTGAATCCAAAGTAGATATTTTTCTGGCATTCTCTTACTTTTTCTATGATCCAACGGATGTTGGCAATTTGGTCTCTGGTTTCTCTGCCATTTCTAAATCCAGCTTTTACATCTGAAAGTTCTCAGTTCACATACTATTGAAGCCTAGCTTGGAGGATTTTGAGCATGACCTTGCTAGCATGTGAAATGAGTGCAGCTGTGTGATAGTTTGATCATTCTTTGGCATTGCCCTTCTTTGGAATTGAAATGTAAACTGACCTTTTCCAGTTCTGTGACCACTGCTGAGTATTCCAAATTTGCTGGCATATTGAGTGCAGAACTTTAACAGCATCATTCTTTTAGGATTTGAAGTAGCTCAGCTGGAATTCTGTCACCTCCACCAGCTTTGCTTGTAGCAGTGCTTCCTAAGGCCCACCTGACTTCACACTCCAGGATGTCTGGCTCTACGTGAGTGAGCACACCATCATGGTTATCCAGGTCATTAAGACCTTTTTAATGTGATTCTTCTGTGTATTCTTGTTGGTGTGTATCCAACCATGTTGACCATGGCGGCAGCTTCTTTTTGTTTGTGTATCTGACTTACCATTCCCACTTACTCAGAGTTCAGTGCGAGGATGTTCAGCAAATGTGAAGAGGTGGGGAGGGTCCACTCTCAGCATCCTGTGCCCCCAGGCCCTGGCTGGCCACATGCCCAGGTTTGTTCTGACACTGGCTCTGAGCGAGCCTCTTTTTCCCAACTCCCGCCCCTTCCTTCCATATGAACTGGATGCTCTTTTCACAGGTTCTATAAACATAGCAGAGTTTAGAGTGTGTGAAAGTTTCTGGTAGCACTTCAGAACCGAGTTTATTTTCCCCCAGAAATAGTAGGCATTACTGCCAGAAGAGGGAGGCCAGCCCCTCCTCAGAAACATCAGGTGATGATGCTCCAGCAGTGACGCACGACTGCTGGGATCATCGTGCACTGAGGGGTTAATGCAGCTGGGTCAGACACCCTGGGAGTTGGTCACATCTCCTGTTACAAGTTACATTATTGACTCCGCCATCTAACACCACTGGAAACAATCCACCAGACACACACTGGGATCAGGAGTTGGCCTCAGCTCACAAGTGGATGCTCAAGAGCTGGCCCTGCTACCCAGAGAGCACTCATAAAGATGGAGAATTTCTGGATGTACCAATTTGAGTGTCACGAAGATGAGGTAGGTGGATCCTCAGCCTCACAGCTATGTTTGCTGCTTTGCTCTTGGTTTTCTTCTAGTCCTGTCAGATTGTTCGTTTTCTGCATTTCCCTTGACAGTAGGAGTAAGTGAACAGAGCTGGAATGGGATGGGAAGAGATGTAATCAGGTTTGCCTGTTGCTGGTAAGTCCAAGATGATCTGAAAAGAGAAAAGGCTGACCACTTAGAGAGATTGCACTTTGCTTCGTCTCCATCAGCGTCACATTGTTATTTGCTGTGTTCTGATAAATGAGTTCATTTAGGCACTGTAGCCTCTAATTCCAGGCTCTTTGTTGTGTCTTTTGCTTCCATGATGCTAATGAAAATGAATGGAGATTAGTGCCTTGCACGTTTGCTAATAAATGAGCTGATGGCAAAGTGAACCCTGTATAGTACCTGGCACATAGTAAGCTGTCAACAAATAGTAGCTATTACTGTTTTTAGTAGATAACATGTTATTACAGCAAATGGTTTGCTCTTAGCTGCATCTCTTAATACAAACTAAAAGCCACTTTGGTTTTCGTCTCGCTGAGCTCACGTTCAGTATGGCCTGAGGATGCTTGTGCAGGAGGACCATCAGGGAATATGGACCTAGATGCGATGAACATGATGGAGGCCTCTTCATAAATGAGTCTATCACAAGTTGTAATGCATTTCAAATAGATACAGTGAGATGATTTCAAAGGGGGAAAGATAGCAGTGGTTTATAGATCAGTTTTATCAGATGATAAGTTATCAAATGTTTCAGGAATGGCTTTAGTTAATAGTCAACTTTTTTTCCTTTGAGAACATGGTTTCAGAAGTGTAGAGCCTTTCAGGTGGTGATAAAATGACTGATCTGTGTGGTCCCCTGAAGAGGAAAGCAGCCTGTACCTAGGAGATTGCTGCAGTGCAAGGCTTTCTCCAAGCTGCTAGATGGACTGGATCCTCACACTAGCAGCCTTGCCGAGGGTTTAGCAGACTTGGGGCTGGGAATGTGAGCATTTTCCCTGTGGGAAAAGAAAATGGAAATGCTTAGAATATTCTGACAGTTATCTCA